CATGTACAGTTGTCTGCTCCACTTCTTCCTCTCCGTGGGTGTGTCGCCCCCCGCAGGTCCACCATAGATAAAGTGTATGGTGTGCTTCTTTTGTCGTCTGGGCGCCACCTCGATTTCCTTCTCGCTATTATCCTCCTCATATATTTGGTCGTGTTCTCTTTTCTTGGCGTTCGAGGTGGACGGCTCGACGCCATCCTCCTTCCTCTAGACATTTTTTGGTGGATTTTTTTATGGATCGTGTTGCGGCTGTTGCTACTGTTTGGATCACTTGACAAAATGTCGGAAGTAGCCCTGCTGGATGAGTTCTTCTATTTGTCTCTTCAGCACGTTACATTCATCTGTGTCGTGCCCGGGTTGCCTATGGAACCTGCAGTACTTTGTTTGGTCTCCTTTTGGGGAAACCTTCATGCATTCTGGTGGGAACTCCACTATCCCAATCTCATCCGCCTGTTTTAGAATGATACTGACGGGATGGGTAAGGGGAGTTAAGTTACGCAAGGGGACCAGGCGAGGCCGTTCATGGTCTTGGCCTTTCCCTGCAGTCGGGTGGTTCGAGCGCGGTGCCTGGCTGGGCGGACCAGCTTTCGCAGGCTTCCCACTTTTCCTGCCGTCCTCTTCATCTTTCTTCTTTCTGTCGACGTCCTCTGCTTCGGCATAGCGGCTAGCCGTCCTCATCAGATCTTCGTAAGAACGGGGGTGGTGGGCGTTCAGCTGCTTGTGAAAATATCCCGATCTTAAAGCATGAATAAATATCGGGATCGCCGCCTTGGAGTCGAAGTCGTAGACATTATTGACTTCCTTTTTCCATTTGATCAGGAAGTCTTTGAGGCTCTCGCCTCTATCTTGCTTTACTACACAGAAGTAAGAGAAGGGTTTCTTACGTTGTATGCTACCAGAGAAGTATGTCAGGAAGCTCTTGGACAACTCCCCAAAGTCTTGGATCGACCCATCCGGGATGGTTTTGAACCAGTCCTGGGCCGCTCCATCCAAGGTAGACAAGAATGCTCGGCACATGATGGCGTCCCCTGCCCCGATCATTACCATAGCAGCCTTGTATCTCATCATGTGGACACGTGGATCAGTGGCCCCCGTGTACGCCTTGATGGCAGGCAACCTAAAGTCCTTTGGCAAAGGTACGTCCATGATGCTTGGAAAGAATGGTGCTACCATCCGCACCTCGGGTTCCGGAGACTGCTCTCCTGCCTCCACCCTTCTTGCTAACTCATCGATTCTTCTTTGCAGCATCTCGACTAGGGCCGACTCGTCAGGGTGCCGACGCGGGGCCGGCTGTCGCTCCTCCAAGTGTCGGCGTGGAGCTGGTTCCTCGACGTGCCGTCCATCTGAGTGTCGACACGGAGCTGGTTCCTCGACGTTCCGTCCATCCAAGCGTTGGTGTGGAACCCGCTCATCAGCGCGTCACTCGCCCGCTGAGTGCCGACGCGGAGCCGGCTCATCGACGCGTCGCTCGTCCGAGTGTCAACGCAGGGTCGACTCGTCACCGTGTTGGCGCGGGGCCGGGCCACGAGACTCGCCCATCCTTTCCGTGATTGACCTTTCTGCTTCTCTTTCTTCATGCCGGCGAGGGCCTCTAGCGGAGGACCCCTCTGCCAATGACTTGGGCCTTTGCCGAGCGGGCGCCCCGTGTCCCAACCATTCCAGGGCATAGCGGGAGGGTCCAGGTTGCCGTCTGGCCAGTCCACTTCTTTGGGCGCCCTCCCCTGGACCCCCTGTCCTGGTACGACGCCTTGCGTTCCTCGCTGTACGGGCTGCGTCTCGGGCATCTACCCTTCGCGGGGATTCTACCTCTATTTCCTGAGGCCGCGGCGGGGCCACTTGGCCTTGTAGTCCCACCGCTACCTGATTTAGTGCCGCCGTCACTGCTTGCTGAATGGTTGCCTGGAGGTTCACAATTTGGTTCGCCCCTCCATTGTTGAGTTTGTCTCGAAGGTCCCCTCCATTGTTGAGTTGGTCTCGAAGGTCCCCGGGCCTCCCGTTGTTGAGCTGTTCTCGGAGGTCCCCTCCGCGATTGTTAGTGAGTTTGTCCCGGAGGTCACCTGAGGCATTGCCATTGTTCACGTTGCGGGATCCGTGGGAGCTGTGGGACACCATTCTTTGCTGTTGAAAGAGGAATGAGTTGTGTATGTAGTCGCCTGCTTGAGTATTGAACTCAGGCTCTCAATGAAAGCACCAATGACGGTAAATATGTTACCAGTAATAATAATATTAGAATAACACTATGTGAAAGAGTGACAATAGTTGCATTGCCTGAGTGTCTTAGTATAGAAAATACAGTGTCCTTTGCTAGCTGAGGAGAGCCACATTTAAACTAAAGTCCTAACGGTAACAACATGGGACATAAATGGGGAGCCTAAGCCTTTAATTCATTCTCACTTCAATGGTGGCTTCAATGGCAGTAAAGGAGGCACCTGTTGGAATTCTGTCCGTTGAGGTTCTGCCCGTTGGTTTCCACGTAGTACCGGGTCAAATATAGCGCCGGGTCGGATGCCCACTTATGATCCGGGTCAGGTGCCAGCCCTATTATCCTGTCAGCGCCCTATGTGCATGTAAGTATGTTAATGTGTGCACGAGTTCAAGTTTGTATTTTAAGGGAAGTTTGTATTTTAAGGGGATTTGTATTTGAATGCAACCCTCTATATATATATATATATATATATATATATATATATATATATATATATATATATATATATATATATATATATATATATATATATAAACAAAATAAGCTTCAATGATAGTTATATCCCTGGTTTTTGTCCGTTTTTAACCTGCTTACTTTCTTGTACATCGTGCTTTTAATGTTGTACAATACATTTTTATTGACAAAAATATCCAGTATATTCTGTTAATGTTAAGTTGATTAAAACAACCGTTAAGTATAGTACAAAATGCCAAATCCATTTTCCTCCACTCATTTTCCTTCCTTATTTCCCCTGATTCATCCGCTTATCTTATTTACCCAAATCGCAATCAATGATCACAATAATCTTCCACTCATTTCTTGGCTTTGTTTGCTCTCATCATTCATCCGCTCATCTTCAATCAACGAAATCTTCTTCATTACCTTCTTAAGAGCGGGGAGAAGAGCTTCAATCAACACCATTCAATGGGTATGAACATGAATTTAAGGTAAATTCATTAATATTTTTATTAATTTCATATAATTAGATGCTGGTTGGTCGATTTGGGAATGCCTCCGATTCTCAACTTGTACTAAAAAACGATAAGAAAATGCGCAAAGGGGTAGATGAAATGGGAGGTTCAACGACAAGAATTTTGAAATCTTTGTTCACTCTCCACCCCCAAATTAAATTGTCTTTGGAGAGTGGAATCAAAGCAGTGAGAAGATCTTGGATTTAAATGTTGGTGTTATATAATAAATAAATAAAAAATAATTTTATATAAATTAAAAGTGAAAAGCGTTTCACAAAATTAGACCTAATTTTATGTAATTGGAATATATTCGAATGTTTTTTTTTTGTTTTTTTTTTTTTATTTGTGGGTCTTTTGGATTGCAAGTTTTTATATGTTCATATACATTGTACCATTTCATCAAGATTCCACCTTTAAAACATTGACCCTCTAGAATTTTGCAGCACTCCCTTTTGTTTGCTCTGTAGATTACTTTTATTTTCCTTTTTTTCTTTTGCACTACTAGGATTTTTAAAATTAAAAATTACGCTAATTTTATTTTTCATTTAATGAAACCTTAGTGTTTTTAGCTTACATGATGATATTCATGTAATCCTTTACTTGATACCTTATGTCAGAATGAAAGGACAACTGGACAAAGGTATGGATATTGACTTTAAATGAATGGCTGCCTTATAACAATACTGTCTTTTTCAGTTATGAAGTTATTTGTTATTTTATATAGATTGATGACTTGTTTGTGTGTGTGTGTGTGTTTTTTTTAATTATGCCATTTATCTGATCTGCATAGTTGTACCAGAAAATGTTTAATCGTTTTGAAATTAACTGTTTTCACATTGCATTTTACAATAAAGTTGTTGCAGAAAATTTGAGATAAGCGTAGAATGACAGTTGCGAACAAGGTGAGAAAAAGAGTGAATGACAGTCCAAAAAAATAAATTACACGTACACACCTATCGAACGTGGAACAGGCAAAAAAGCAGAGAGAGTGAGAGTGAGAGTGAGAGGACTCATGTGCAGATCATAGTTTGTATGTTACCATCTGATATTTTTTCCATTTTCACTGTCCAATTTCGCCGACGCCTTGCTAACATACGCGCCACCATCTCTCCTCGCCAGGTGTACCGCCTTCCAACGTAACTTCTATACCTCTGGATTTCTGTCTGTGTTTTGTTGTATTTGTTGAATCTTCGCTTAAATCTATCTTACTTAGGAATCATGATTCTGGTTCTGCACAGTGTATTGCATTATAGCTGATGTGGATGCGCTTTTGAAGCTTTGATTGCAGGGGCGAATTTTAAGGGTTATACATCGTTGATTGGAATCACATTCATATAGATACGTACAGGAGCGAATTGAAAAGAAAGGATGGCAGCTCCACCGGCTAGGGCTCGAGCGGACTAAGATTATCTTATAAAGTTGCTCCTCATTGGCGACATCGGTTAGTTTCCTTCTTCCATTCGCATTTTCTCACATCTGCAATTTCGTTATCCCTTTAGATATTCAGAGAATTGCTTGTTAATGTTTGGCATTTGTTATGCCCGCAATGGTTAATTCATCATTCCATGTCTAAGAGGTGATGAGTTCTTTTATGGATTCTATATGTTTCAACAGTTTGTGTTGTGTAATTCCTTTTACAGTTTTGCTTCTGATCGAAATGTCTTTCTATCGGCATGGTAAGTGTATTTTAGTATGGTGGATCAACTACATGTATCAAAAACAATGGTGAATTGAAGTTTATTTTTCCCTTGTGTTTTATGTGCTCTTTACCCATTATAATCATTACTTATAGCAAAGTTATTTAGTTATGCTATACCTAAACTTTTATGCCAAACGCCAGCGCGGTTGGGGACAATGGAAAGGTGAAATCTGGGAATGGGAATTTGGAGTTGAGGAAAGTGTTCCGAGCTCGGCTTTTGGATTTCTTCAAATCCCATCCAGAGGTATGCATTTACTTTTTGATGGCGTAATGATTTTCTGCATCGAGCTAATATAAGCGAAACTTGATGATGACAATTCAAGCTTTATTTGTTATTAGTTTTCTGTTGTGATTAGCATTTCATGGATAGTGTTTGGTGGAATGAACATTGTTGCAGATTGTTCTTTTTAATGATTTGCAAATGAATGGTTTTTGTTGACTATGATGTTTGCTTCAGGGAGATGATATTCCAGAGGAGGAATTACCACATCCGTTCAATCAATCAAAGCCGCCAGTGCCTTCTGGTTTGGGTGGTGAGGCGAGAAATGAAGCTGTGTCTGAGATTGGTGGCATCGTCGTCAACCTGTCTAAACCCCCGGCTTCAACGTCCCACCTCTCTCGTTCTTTCAGACGGAGCTTCTCCCAGCGCTGCATGGCGGAGGACACCAAGCAAGAACAAACGGTTGCTGTCAATCTTTCCCCTGAGAGGAAAGCTTCTAAATCTTGTGCTGATTCGGGCGTTGGATGCTCGCCTAATGCTGCTCCTGTGAAGAAGGATTTGTGTCTCTCTAAAGTCGAGGAAGGTTTGTTCTTGAGTGCTGAAGGAACACCAACTAAACTCGCATCCACCCCAGCAAAATCGATGAGCTCCACACCTGCTCTTTGACCTCCCAAGAGATGTTATATGACTCCAGAAGAGAACGATTCAGCTAAATCTCCAGGAGCAGCATTAGGACCTCCCAAGAGATGTTATTCGGGGTAAAAAATACTTGCTCTGGTTTTAGGACCTTTTAGATTTTTAATTGCTAGGATTATCTAAGAGTAATTTTCTTCAGTTTTTATAACATCAAATTTTGACTAAACCAACGTCAACATATTCTTTAACATATATATTAACTTAAAAGTCAATAAAATAAATAAAAAAAATAATATACATCAATTTTTTACTAAATCGACGAAAAAAAATATTAGATATACATCCGTTATTTTTAAAACGGACGTCGTATATGAGCTATAATGTTAGTTCCCTGGGCAGGTTTGCTTTGTAACATGCTTTGATCCTAATAATATTTTTGCTGAACTTCAAGCAAAAGAAGAAGGATTTTGAGCCTAAAGTCTACATCTGTTGATATAGTTTATTGTAAACTCATCTATAAACTAAAAACCGTTGTTGAAATGTTGTTTTAACATGCAAAATTAATTAATAACTTCTTCGACTCTTCCTTATATTCAATGAGGTGAAAGATGATAATCTCCTTAAATCAGATGATATTACATAAGGTGACCATACACAATCTTTGACATTGGTAAAAAATCATTTTATTAGTAAATATACAATACTATCTCAGGAATTTACAATTGAATTCATAAGGCTTTCATTAAACTTTTCATCAAAAAGAACCTTCGGCTTCTGTTTCTTTAAATAAATTATTTTCTTAATATTCATGTTATTTATTTTTAATTATTCAGTTGTTTAAATTTTTTTATTTTACAATCTTCTTCTCTTTTTAAAATTTTTATTATTCCTAATATAATCTACATAATCGCCTCTTGTATATATATTCTTTTGGAATACATATAAATGTTTTATACTTATGGAATCTAAAATATATAAATGTTTTAACTCAAACCGCTTGATTTAAAAATGCCCAAGATTGGTCCTTCAATTTTTAAATGTAATGTTTATAGTACATATGCTCTTAAATGTTTGGTAATGGTAAGTTAACACATGACTTTATTCAGGTTTGGATACAAGATGTGTTGCCTAACATAGAAGGGATATAACTCTTACTGGAAGAAAAAGACATTTAAACAAATTTTACATCAATGTGCTTTCTTCATAAAATACGTCATTTTACATGTAACAAAAATGGTATTCTCAAACAAAACAACTACTATTACTTATTTTTAGATGTTTAATTCAACAAACAACATAACCGAAAAACTACACTGTCTAATAGTTGCTTTGCCACTTTCATTTTGAAAACTTGTAGGACCAGTAAGCAACATACTTTTATGAGATATTAGAAACAATGAATAATACATGTTAACCAAATAACACAAGGAGAAAATAGTTGTAAAATAACGTTCAATACCCTTAAAATTACAAATGTATATATTCATCATAATCAATTTGTATTTCTTGTGTAAAAATTCAATACATTAACAAAATAAACTTTATGTGAATATTTATGAAACTTCGTCAAATAAAAAAAAAAAAAAAAAAAAAAAGCACTCCACAAATGTAATTTATCAATTTCAAAATGATTTACTAATCGAGTTTCAACATTGGGCACAAGTTTTCGCGCAAAGCGCGTACAAAAAGATTGTGTGTGTGTGTGTGTGTGTGTGTGTGTGTGTATATATATATATATATAAAATATATATATATATATATATATATATATATATAGTCCATGACATCAATTGTTATATAGTGGACCATAGTCGTCAAATAAAATTGATGAAACTGTAATATAATTCAAATGATACTTTAGTGTTGTTATAATGAAACTAGTGTGTGTGAAAAATGAAACTAAAATCCAAAGCCATGCAATAACTTGTCAAATGAACCTACATTACTATAATTAAACTTGTGCTTGTAGAAAATGAAACTACAAAATAGAGCTCATGCAATAATCTAATAATGTATATTGTCAAATGAAACTGTAGTACAATTAAAATGATCCTTTAGTATTGCTAAAATGAAACTAGTGTGTGTGAAAAATGAAACTGAAGTGTAATTAGAATGGTATTTACTTCATGGACCACACTGCTACATGAACCATGGCCCAAGTAAAATTTGCCCAATGACATGGCTAATTATGTTGTGGAACCGTGTGCACCTTGCAAGGTGAACACGGTTCCAAAACTGTTTATAATTATGAATATATAGTTCAAAAATTATGAACATATGGGCATCCCCATTAGGGGGATTTTGCACATATTTTAAAAAAAAGTTGATGTGTTTGAGAGAAGAGAGGAGAGAGAGGGTTGGGGTTGTTAGGTTATTTAAGGGATTTTGTCAAAATTTTGAAAATTTTGGAGGATTTTTTGGGTGGGGGAGGGGTTTGAGGGTTTTTTTTCAGTTTTTTATTTTGTTTATTATTATTATTATTATTATTATTATTATTATTATTATTATTATTATTATTATTATTATTATTATTATTATTATTATTATTATTATTTTCCTTTTCACCCATTTCTCTTTCCTAATCACACCTGCAAAATCTCCTCAAAATCTTACCACTATTGAGGATGTCCTTATATAATTATGAACATAGAGTTGTGAACATAATTATGAATATATAGTTCTGTAATTATGAATATAGAGATTCAATAATTGTGAATATGAAGTTCAAAAATTATGAATATATAGCTTTATAGTTTCATTAGTTATATTGTCATTATCAATAAATTAATTAAGAGAAATAATTTCATTAGTTATATTGTCTTTATTTTTCTCCAATGTAAAAATTCTTTACATTCAAATTCATCAATTGATTATATTCACTACATTGTCTATTATCTTTTTTTGTGAACTATTTTTTAATTAAATATCAAAGTTATAATACAAAATAAGGCTATATATTTATTTACTAAGTATTTTATTAATACCATGAAAAAAATTTAAAATTTTAAATTAATAAAGTCAATCATATTAACTACTTGAGGGATTTGTTGACAATTAGAGTATTCAAATCACACAACAAATTGAAGTGAGAAACTACCTCGCAATGTCCTTATTTAACAATCAGCAGTTAGCGGTTAGGGTTAGCGGATTATATTAGCGGATTTGACCAGCGAATTATATCAACGGTAGCTGGTAGGTAAAAGATATTTGAAAAAATTAGCTGTTTAAATTAACATTTAAAATGAACTAAGGGTTTACATATAATAATAATAATGATAATAATAATAATAATAATAATAATAATAATAATAATAATAATAATAATAATAATAATAATAATAATAATAATAATAATCTACTATATATATATATATATATATATATATATATATATATATATATATATATATATATCTACTATACTAATAAGAGCCCAAGAGAGTTAGGCCTATAATGGGTAGAAAAAATGGCGGTCACAGATTTTAATAAAATGAATGGCTCAGATTGATTAAAAGATTGATCATATTTAAATTTTACACTAAAATTTCCTAAAATACCCACACACCGTTACTAATTCCGTTAAAATTTTAAGAATTGCCGTTAGTTCACCGTTAACTTACTCATTGATTTCAATAAAAAAAAAAAAGTCTTAGGTTCGAACCTCATCCCAATCAAAGTTGGCATAATTAGTACTCTATTTTACTCTTATTAAATTATATAAATAATAATTTAGTAGTTACAACAAAAAATAATACATATGCATTTCTTTAATTTAGAATTATGTGTTCACAATGTCTTTATTCAAAAAAAAATAAAAAATTATTCATTATCAATAAGTTAAATAAGATAAATAATTTTATTAGTTATATTGTCTTTATTTTTCTTCAATATAAAAATTCTTTATATTCAAATTTATTAATTGATTATATTCGCTACATTGTCCTTACAATGTCTTTATTCAGTGAAAAATAAATTATTAATTATCAATAAATTAATTAAAAGAAATATTTTCATTAGTTATATTGTCTTTATTTTTCTCAAATGTAAAACTTTTTACATTCAAATTCATCAATTGATTATATTCACTACATTATCTATTATCTTTTTTGTGCACTATTTTTCTAATTAAATATCAAAGTTATAACATAAAATAATGCTATATATTTATTTACCAAGTATTTTATTAATACCATGAAAAAATTAAAAAAATATAATTAATAAAGCCAACCATATTAACTACTTGAGAGATTTGTGACAAAGAGAGTATTCAAATCACACAACAAGTGAGAACTACCTCGCAATGTCCTTGTTTGACAATCAGCAGTTAGCGGTTAACGTTAGCGGATTTGACCAGCGAATTTATTTAATTATTAACATTGGGTAGAAAAAATGACCGCCAAATTATTAAATCAAATGAATGGTTCATATTGTTCAGGTTTTAATTTTTTTTCTTTTAAGATTTTCTAATTTATCCTTAATTATATGATTATCCATTTAACTTTTCCGTTAATTCACCGTTAGTCTAATTCTAATATTAAAGTCTAATATAGAATTATAACTACACCATTAATCTAATTCTAATATTAAAGTCTTAATAGAACTTAACCACAAATCCTAATGTCGGAATCTCCTCAAACAATATTAGTATATATTTCATATTTTATGCCCTAATTTTTATTTGTTCTCCCTTATGTCCCGTATTTGGTTTCAACCATACATATACAATTATTTTATTGACAATTATAATCAATATTGACTATATTATCTTGCATTTGTAAACTTAGAATTACCTATTTAACCTGCACGGGCTTAGCTCAATGGTTTAGTGGGTAGTATTTGGGAGAAGAGACTAAGGTTTGAACCTCGGCGACGGCAATGCGTGAATTATGTCCAAAGTGGGCAGATTCCTTGTGCGTACCAGCATTTGGCCCTGTCTGCTGAACCATTGAGTCACCGTGATTTACAACTTCCCACAATGCTCTGTCGGGTCGGAGTGTGGGGGGCCCTTGGGGTTGGGGACTCAACCTTTGGGAGAAGAATTACCTATTTAAATACGCAAATTCAACCTTCAATTATC